AGCCCTGAGACAGGATAATGATGATGTAATAGTAGCCCTGCCCATGGAATGCAAATTGCTCTAGGGATAGCAGAATAGCGTATAGAATGAGGATACAGCATTTGCCACACCAATATCTGTGTGTATAGAAGGCAGACAGTGCATTCATTTACTCCAGCAATAAACATCACATTTTTGTTCAGTAGCTACTACTGAAGTTAAGCTAATTAAGTTTATCATAGTTCAAGTGCTGGCATTCCTCCAAATTATCTGTCTTTTTGCATAGACTAAATGAAGAAATTGAATGAAATAAGTTGAGTCAAATTAGTTGAAGAATAATCACTTCTGTATCATACAGGCATGTGATATTGCAATTCCTCTAAACATGCAGAATTATTTCTGGATTGCTACTTTTGTATGCAAAGCCAGTTCTAGTGACTTCTACATAGTGTGACATTTTGTTTCATCATACCAATATGAATAATATGGAACATGTAATTTTTAATTCATAGAAAGCATTTGCAGACACTAAAAACCCACAACAATGCTCGTCAATCACCCAGCATAAGTAAGCCTCTATTCTGAATGTGGACCACACTGCTAAGAGTATCCAGAAATTCATACCATTTTGAAGACCGTGCTTAATACTCCCTAAAATCTCATTATTTATACTGATGAATTGTCATCCTGTGATTATAGGTATCTTTGGATAGATTAAAGAGAGTGGGCTACTCTATAAATTATGACCTTATGGCAGGATCCTTCCTCAACATGATCTGCTTTCACTTTGATTCAAGGTTCTCCAAATCTGCTGTCCCTCATCAGAGAATTGGTTGATGTATTGATCCCAATGTCCTACTAGAATTACTCAGGATTGTTTTCATCAAATATAGTTTCATTTATTTATCTTCTTAAGCTCTGGGTAGTCTACCAATTGATTTCAATTCTAAAGATGTCATTATTATCTACCCAAGGTCAATTTCTCTGTTAGTCAAGTTATCTTAACCAGTGCTGCCTGATATGCTCATCGTATCCACACATTGTAATCCCCATGTGCCGTGGCTCTTTCAGTTTTGTGTCATCCCGGTGAATGGAGTTTCTCAAGTAAAGAGATGAATGAGAAGTTCCTAAAGAACCGTTTTCTCCACATTCTAACACACCCTATGCCTTTTTACACTTTGGCCCATGGGACATCAAAGAGCCTCTGGTGGGCTGGAGAGATGCCTCTCAGTGGATTACAGCACTTGTTGCTCTCATAGAAAACCAGAATTTGCTTACTAGCACCCAAATCAGGGCGGGTACAGTTCTGCAACTCTGGATCTAGGAGATCCAGCACCCTTTGCTAGGCACTTCAGATTAACATACACACACACACACACACACACACACACACACACTAAATGAATCTTGTTTAAATAAAAAATAAAGTGCTGGAATTTTTAGTTGATTTGATGTAGGTGATCTTTGGGTCTAGTCTTCACATAACCAACCAAGCAGTCAGTCAGTTCTCCTCTCTGCTGTTCACAGGGACAGGAATCCAAAACACAATGTTCCTTTATCAACACATTCCAACCCAATCAAACATCCCTTCCTCCTACCTCCCCCTGGATCAAACATTTCTTCCTATCACCTTGATCCAGTATGCTTATTTGGTAATTTAGAATCTCAACCACATCCCCCCACACATATTTTCTGGCACAATTATAAACCATCAATCAATTTCATCCTAGACCATATTTTTATCAAAATGCTTTATGAAATATCCTAAATTCATTCTAAATCCTTTGCTCTGGTAGGTACTTTATTACAAGTGGCCCCAATGACCATTTAAATGACTTTAATCAGTGCATTCCCGGTGTCCCTGGCCACGAGAAGGAACATTTAGGCTTTAATTTCAACAAGATGAGACTGAGGCCCACATACTCATCTTTATGTCCCTGTTACCCTGAGTCCTTACACTTCCTGTTTCCAGCAAGTTTAGTAATCACTGTTTAATCAGAGAAGCAAGAATAAGTGTGGGATTATATGACACATAATTTATAAGAATAATGATTATACAACTATAGACAAAGATGGGGGAATAAAGGTCTGAGAAGGTTCACAAAAAGTCACTAACCAGGTCTCAATCCATGTGAACTAACTGGGTATGCAAGAAGCTAATCATGACCTCTTGCTCTAGCATGCCATGGAGCAGGCTAGTGGACAATTCATGGAAGGTTTGTGGCTCTTTAACCAAATAGCTGAAGTGAAAGACTTCTAAAGTAGAAGGACTAGGAAACTGAATGAGAACTGATGTAGAAAGGGAGAATGCAATCGTTCAAAGGCCTCAGTGTAAGAGACAATTCCATATACTTGAGACAGTGAAAAATAACAATGCAATTAGAAGAGAGAAAATGAGAGAGAGAGAGAAACCAAACTAGAAGATTAACTCAAGATAAAAATACAGTTACAGAAACTACTATGATCATGAAGGGCCTTATAGGAATTTGAGAGTTTTTCTAAAAGCCTTGTGAAATCATTAAAGATATTCTCAAAGGTCCTAAATGTGACAATTGTCTCTGTCGTGTTGCTTCCTATATAGTGGGGACCATGAAGAACATTGTAGGCAAGTATTTACTAGGCATTTACTAAGTACTTATGATACACCACATAGTTTGCTGGATAGAAGTGACTCGGTAGTAAAAAACTGAAGACAAATTCAACATGTTTATGATGTGTTAAGCAGTGTGTTTGTTTAACCCACACAAGAGCCTCATGAAGTAAGAGAGTGAGGCAGAGAGGGACAATTGAATAGCACAAGGTCACCCAAGTGCAAGTACATAGGGTCTGTATAGAGACCCTGCTCATTTGCATTCCAGAAACATTGCTTTTAAGAAGTATTTTGCCGGTCCCACACGCTGTCATAGGTAAACTCTCAGATAAATCAAAGGCACAAACCATAGGGATATGATTAATTTCTTAATCTTTTCATGGTCCTCAGTTTTCCATGCTTATGTCAGTGTGTGCACTCTGGTTATAAATTTTGCTTGAGCGAGGAAATGGGACAACCTTGAGTGTGTGGTGTGATCTCTGTGGAATGCAGAGCAAATAACTCACCAACACTCTGCTTCTCAGGGGCGCAGTGCAAATGGAGGAGGCACTGTCCTCTTTGTCATAAGACAGGAAGTGCAGTGTCATACTGAGAGGACTCCCTTAGACCAAATACCCTGTTTAGTGGTGTCTTACCAAACCACTTCTGCATGTGCATGTGTGTCTGTCTCTGTCTGTCTGTCTATCTGTCTGTGTTCATGCAGCCGTGCATGAATACAGCCGTGTGTGTTCATGAGCACTTGCATGAGGACCCTCGTGCACAAACAGACATGTAGAGACCAGAGGTCAATGTCAGAAGTCTCCCTCTCTTTCTCTCCACCTCATGTTTGCTCTGAGCCCAGAGCATACCCATCTGGCGAGACTGACTGCCCCGACACTTCCAAGGATCCTTTTTTATTTCTCCCCCACTCCCTACACCACCAAACTCAGTTTTCCCCACCGGCGCCAGGCATCAGACAGAGTCCTCTCCCTGGCCCAGAACTACGTTTTTCCATCATGTTCTCTTACACTGAGTAGGATATATAAAAAGAATTTTAAACGTTTTTTTTAAGTCTCTCACTAATTCTCAGAAAAAGAATGTTAATTGAATCAGCACTGGACAGATAAAAATCTAAATTTGGTTGTCGTAACTGTCAGACCATTTAGAAACCAAACAATTCACACCCTACTAATTGCTTTTGTGTTCATCTATCCAAGAGACGTGAGTCATCGCTCAGAAAATCCTAATTATGAATGACTTACACCTTGATGATGACAGACCTCTATGTTGCTCTTACAAAAAGTTTCCAAAAGGTATTTCTCTCAAAATAATTTCAACTTTCTCTGATTTATGTTTATCTGATAAACCTATATCTTTTCTCAGAAATACATGACCCAGGGGCCATACCATACTTGCCTTCCTTTCATTAGCCAGAGGTTGTTCGGGGAGCCAAGAGAAAGGAGTTTCTAAACTTTTGATGCAGAGTGTCAGCATTGTGATGACAGATTAATCCAAGCACATGATTGCTGAAGTTCTGTATTAGGAATACATTTTTCCCCAGTGGGGAATCCAAAAGTACTCTGAGCAAAAGTAGTGACATGAAAATCCATGTGTTGTATATATCAGTCTGTTTAGACAAGGGTCATTATATTCCTGAGGAATCAAGTGGTAATATTATTCCACCCACAGCCTAAGTGTGTGTCTCTGAACTGGTTCTGAGCTACAAGGAGTCATTTCAAGACCAAGGAAGAATTCATAGAAAGGCAATTCACTGAGTACCAGTCAAATGACTTAGCAATACAGTCTGCACTTTATGACTCAACTGTAAGCAATGCCACCCCAAGATTTACATACATGTACATACAAATGTGTACAAACATCCACATACATACACACATATATAAATACATACATATACACACATATATGCATGTGCATATACACATATATGGACATAAATACATACATACATGTACATATACACATACATACATGCTTGTACATATTGGCAAACACACATATAAATACAGTAGCAAAATATTTTTGGCTTATTAATTATTCTTTTACATTTACAGGTCTTTTTTTCAGGTCCTACCCTAACAGGAAAGTGATTGGTGGTACTAAACATGGAGACTTTCCTTAACCCTTACCATGCCAGTACTTCCTCATTATCCTGAAGCTTAAACCAGCCATATCAAAGGAACTTTTCATCCTAAAGCAAGTATCATGTGGACTCATTGGAGTGCTTACTCCCCCAGCCACATTTTCTTTGGCAACCCTGTTGTCCATGCTAGGGACCACCCTAGGCTATGTATGTGAAATGTTAGACACAGGGTGTTTTCCAAGTATTAAACCATAAAGGGTAATCCTTGGGTCTTGTAAAATGATTGTCGAAGACTTTCTATCATCCATTTCTGGGAATTTCACGTCAAGGAATGATTGACACACAATTAAAGCAGAATTCATGTATTTATTCAGCAGAGGGAGTGGTAGCACAAACTGTCTGGAGCATTATTCCAAATGGGAGGATCCAGCAATGGGGATCAATCTTTCTGCTGAGTCAAACGTTGGCAACTCTTCTGAGGATTCTGACGTACGGGCATCCAGGAAAGCTACGGACATGATAGCTTTTGTTATGAGGAGATTCTGCTGGAAGATGCTAGTAAAAATGTTAGCTTTTCCCCCTTTAAATAAAAAATTCTTCTGCCCCCACTGTCATTAATATTTATAAATTATCATAAATGTGGTTTTCCTCAAGCAATCTAAAGTCTTGTAAGATAATTTATGGAATTTTGCTTTTCCTTTGTGAAACACACACATACACACACACACACACACACACACACACAATAGACAAGAGTTGACTGGCAGGGAGAATCAATAAGAAAATAATGATTCCAATATTTTAAACCAATCACAACAAAACACGCACTTTTGAAACATGATCATAAAGTAGACTTGAACTTAAAGCCTGATATAATTTACTTATCATATTAAAGTCCTTGGGAGCCCAATTAATTTCTCTTACTTTAAGCCTTTCTGTGTTCTATATGACACCTCCAAGTTAATTTTTTAACTATGTACTATTGTACTAAAACCTTCTAGGATTAAGCTATCTCTATGGGGAAAACACTAGGCTTTGGAGTAAATACCCATACTATGTGAATATTATATTAATGGGTCTTTTGTGATATCAACCCCACCTCCTCTCTTCCCATCCCTTCCTTCACCTCCCTCCAGCCATTCTTTCCCCTCCCTTCTCCTTCCCCTCCCCTATGCTTCTCTTTTTTCCTGTTTCTCTCCTATTTATTTAGTCCTCTTGTTTATTGAAATAGCACATAACACTGCCACTTCTAAAGGTAGTTTCCGTACCATACTACCCTATCACTCTAAATTGTTCCATACAGAGTACTACAAACCATCAGTATCCACTTGTATCCGTACTCACATGCTTCTTATACGCTGATTCTTAACTGAGAAATAAATGCAGTTTAACCCAGAAGACTATTCTCTACAGTGCAGGGATTAACAATGCCAGTCCCAGGTACTCTGGGTCAGTTGTAAAAGTCACACGGCAAAGGGAGGGGACAGTTTTTAAGAGAAATAGTTTGACAAGCTCATACGGGTTTAACCATACACAAGTCCCTAGGAAGAACACTCATACTGCAAATCTTGTTGATAGTTTCATTGCTGCATTCATGCAGAAATTGAAATCTTACCATAGGGGTCCTCTTGTTTCAGGAAGCTAGCTTCCTAGATAAAGGTTATTAGGAATATTTCATAATCCTTTTTGTAGCCAAGGTCAAGAACCAGGAAGCATGGCGTTAAATAGACCACAATCAGTAAAGTAGGACTTGGTTACCAAGCATGGGACAGGATCAGACAGGCTAGGAACCTGCTGGGCCTCATGCTTCCTGGTCGTGAAAATACAGGTCAATAATAGGATCTCAGAGTGAGCCCAAAGCAGGATGCAGGCATAAGAATCAGGGGCAATACAGGAGGCAAATGTGAGGAAAGTGTTTTACTCACTGCAGTTTCTTGAGAACTGAGATTCAGATTAATCATCAGCAGTGACTGATGTCAAATAGTCTTTTCAGGGACTGGAGAGATGGGGAAGTGGTTAAAAGAGCTCTCTGCTCCTCTGAAAGTCACACAAAGTCAGTTTCCAGCACCTACATTAGGAGGCTCACACCCTCAGGGAATCCAACATCTGCTTCTCTGCTTCTGAATTTGAGGGCACCCCCACACAAGTGGCATAGACTTACACACACACACACACACACCACACACACACACACACACACACACACACACCACTGTATCTATCTATAGCTATATATAAAGTAAATATTTTCTTAATTTTTAAATTTATTTTTATTTCATGTGTGTTGGTGTTTTGCCTGCATATAAATCTGTGTGAGGGTATTCTGTCCCTTAGAAATAGAGTTACAAATAGTTAGATAAGGTTGCTGTGAATTGCACCTTGGTCCTCTGGATGAGTAACCAGTGCTCTTAACCACTGAGCCATCTCTTCAGCCCTAAAGTAAATCTTTTTCAAAAATACCTCTTTTATAACACAGGTGTCACCTACAATTCCAGCACCAAGAAGGTTGAGTCAGGAGAATCAGTCTATATGAAAGGCTAATCCTGGATCTGTAGTGGGTTCCTGGATAGCCCAGGCTGCAGAGGCTGGCCAGAGAGAGATGGGGGGTGGAGGGAGAGGGAGGGAGAGGGAGTAGGAGAGGGAGAGGGAGATGGAGGGAGGGAGAGAGGGAGGGAGGAAGAATCAAATAAAAGCAGAGCTGCAGGCTGCAAAGACAGTTATAAAAGTACAAACATAAGGACCTGGGTTCAAATCCCTAGCACCCACACAAACAGCTGAATGTGGTCTCATGTACATTTACAACCCCAACACTGTGGAAACAGAAATAGAGAATGGCTAGAGCTTGCTAACCATCTGTCGAGCTCCTCATTCAAGACAGTCTTGAAGGAATAGGGGAGAGGACACATGAAGTTCTCCTCGGAAGGGTGTACACCCACAGTATTCGTGCTCATACACTCAACACCTACTCGCACACACATCACATGGAGAATTCTTTTCATTGACAACATTTCAAGGACTCAGCATGACTGAACATCTGTTCAGGTACTATTCTCGCCTTCCTGAAGCCTAGGGTAAAACTTCAGTGTTTGACAATCTTCAATAAATTTTTTACTTGAAAAATAAAACCATATTTCAGACTCTTATCAGTAATGTTAACAAGGAAATGTTACCAAAAGCAGCTAAATGAGCAAAGTCAAGCCATATGCTGTGTTTTCCCCCTCACATTTAATAAGTTTATTGTTAGAACACCTAAGATTGGGTGTAGAAAATTAATTGGCCTATCCATTCTATCCTCAAATGAGTATCAGGTCTGCATTGAAGAAGTAGATTTGAGGATCACCTGGTAAGGGGAAACTGTTGCTAAGGGGTCCTAGAATTAACCCCACAGTTACAGTACAGACAACCTTTACATTAAATTGTCTTAAATGATACTAATAGGTTAGGTAAACGCAAAATTGAGAACTGGTTTCTGGGTTTAGCCCCAAAGACTCTTCATGACACTGGCAAGGGTGGTATTTAATTGGAACTGAAGGGAGAAAAGTCTGGCTGGAACTAAGTTCAAGCTCAAGTGGGGACAGAAGAGCATGGGTTTCAAGATCTCTGAAGAGGAGAGAAATGGGCGAGTAGATGAGGGTGAACCCAGTTAAAAGGGAGCTTGTAAGAGCCATTAATGGTTTGTCATCGCTGTCTAGGCAGGTGTGGAGGTACATAGGCAGGAAGGGAAGGAATGGGCTCCGTCTGGGCCCAGTGTATAGCAGAAAAACAAGTCAATAAACAGTTCCGAGTGAATTTTAAAGTGCTAAGTGTATTTTTCCTCAGGAGTCAAGGTCTTGCTTTTCTTTTTCAAGAGTATACAGGTACATTCCTTCTGACCTGGTCTTTTGTTGAGGGGTAGCTTAGTTCAGAATTTGATGTGAAGCAAACAGAGGGTTAAATTCCTGAATATTGATGATTGTTGGAAATATAGTTAAATTTGGGCAAAAGTTTTCTTAGGATATTCTTCATAGTCACTCAGGATACCAAAAGTGGGTAGGCACGCTAAGGGTTATAGAAAATCTTCTATTACAATATATTCTCCTTTTCTTTTCCTCCAACAGGTTGGATGCTGTGTGCAGGCCAGTGGTGCCGAAGACACCCACTGCCTGATCATTCAGAAGATAACCTCACTCCACCTCTTGAGAGATCTTGAATCTTTGAGATTTTCAACGAGGAGTGTGGGATCAGTTCCTCCCATGTGAATCACTTTGACATTTAAAGAGTTCATGGAACCAAGAAAAAGGTAAGGCCTATTCTTGTAAAAGAGAAAATGCTGTAACCCTCATGGAATGTTCCTGGATTACTGCCATGCAGAGGAAGGGATATGTACCGGGTGGCAAGATGTGATAGTCACCCTGGTGATGAGTAGCCCATCAAGGCCCTTGAGGTCTACCATCATAGATCATCCACGCAGTGAAGTGTCAGTCTTTTTGCAGGTTGGGCTCCGGTATGGGTAGCCCTGACTACATTCTCTCTCATCCACAATGTGTGATCAAAAGGGATTAAGCGAAGCCAGCCCTTCCTTTGCTCTCTCTCCCCAAAAGAGTAAAACAGACTGTGGCAAATATTTGCTTAAGACAGATCCTTTCTGATAACCAAACTGGATGGCTTTCAGAGTAACCACAGAGGTAGGATTAGAATTGTCTGGGTGACTCGAAGGAGGTGGTTAAGGAAGGGAAGTTGGGTGTTACCATGGAAAGCTGGAATCCAGCTCTACTGGTACGTTAGCCTCTGCCACTTTGGAATCTCTTAATTGCCACAAAGCCCGGTTTCTGGGTAAACACAATGGAACTCAGTATTTTTGAAGAAGGGGGAAGGGCAGATAGCAGAGAAGCAGCGTCTTACTTGGGGGAAAGGGTAGTACTTCTTCAGCTGAGAGAAAAGAGTTTCCACTTCAAGGGCATAAGTATTAGCACAACCCTTGTGCAGTGCCATGCCATCATTGAGTGAGCAAAATATTCTATTGAAAGGGCAGTAAAGCACATAAAAGACCCTGCATATTCAAAATTGCTCATTCTAGTGCTCCAGCCATCATATTAAGAGGAGGGAATAATGAATTGAGTTCCTTAGCTACCCAGGGCATTTCTATGTTAAAAAACAATTCAACTTTCCCCTTCTGTTTTACTAGAAACAGCTCCAACAGGGAAACTAACTGTCCATCTATTGTCAAAGCACTCCCAACCCTAAGGCCTGGTTAAACAGCTTTGGCTTAGCTAAGGGCCATTGCCTAAATTTAAACGCCAGGGCTTTCTTGTTCTCTAAGGTATAGGCCAACAGTGATCAGGATTGTGCTGCCCTAGTTCTTTTAAATCCATTTTTAATTATAGCATAAGTACAATATTCACAGCAAAGGTGATTGCCATGGATTGTTCTGGCAGGTATCAGCTTGTTTCCAACCCAAAGATTTGTGTTCTTCCTTCCCCAACCCCTCATCCCTTTTTTATTGAAGGAGCTCTGTATATGAAAGGACATTGTCCATCTTCTCAACTTCCTTAGTTTTCCAACAAATTTAAAAAGGTTTGAAATCTAAAATGAACAAGGAAAGGCAAAAAGCAAACAAACAAAAAAAGTTACTTGCCTTTTTCAAATATAGTGCAAAGATGAGGAAGCAGAGATTTTTGTAGTATTCTAAAAATAACTTTCAGAGTGGTTTTCGGGTTCTGTAAAATTGTATGTCATAATGAGGACGAGGAAAGCATTGTCTTTAATATTAAACATATACAACAAATAATAAGATAAATTCATTATTCCCAGTTTCATTATAAGTAGGGATAGGTTACTATGCCTTTATTATTCCCATTATTATTAATTTATGTAGTACTTTTCAATTTGTATGTTTTTGCATGCAGAAGCCAGAAGACAACCTTGGAATCATTCCCCAAGGACTATCCATCTTTTCTTTTCACAACAAGGTCACACATTAATCCTGAAACTCTTTAGAGAGCCTAGGTCAGACCCAGGGGGCTTCCAGTCTCTGTTTTTCCAGTGCTGTGATAGTAAGTGTGCCCCAGCACACCAGATCTTTTCACATTGGCTCTGGTGATGTAGTTCAAGTTCACATGCTTGTGAGGCAACCAGATAATCTCCCCAGGCCCTACTTTCCAATGTCTCTGCTTCAGAGACAAAGGAATGGAGATCAGATCAAGCAACTTTCCCAAAGTCATAGACCTAGCTGTAAGTGGGGAAGTCAGAATTTGAATACAGGTCTTCAACTCAAACTTATCTATGTGCAAAAAACACTGTCAGCTTTTTAATTTTCCTCATTTTCACATTTTACTCAAATCTCTCTTTCCAGAAGTAAACAGATTAGCAGTGGCTTTGTATAAGTTTTCACTGGGTCAAAGTTATTGTCTATCTCTTTAATGCCTGCCAAACAGTAACCATGTCTGAAGGATTACAGGCAGCCTATTCAGTTAGAATATGCTTTCTCGGGCTACCTGATATATGAAGTCCTTAATTCATAAATCTACAAAGTGAGAATTATGGTTACAACTCCCAGTAGAAATATTTAGATATATTGAAACAAAATGTATTTATTATTCTAAAAACAGCTGGCAAGATTTTATTGAAAATGTCATTACTACTCTCGGCTCTTCTCCAGTAATGCTTAGCTGTAGATTTAGCAAAAGAAAGACGTGTAAGCAAACTCTTTTAAAGTATGAAAGTGAATAACTAACACTGTGCAAGAGTAAAGGGGCTTTTCATTTCTCTACT